AAACAATTCAAGCTTTTAAAATACCTTTTGGATTGTGTCAAGGTGAACTTTGCTTGCTTGAAAAACTCATTTCTATAATATATATAGATAGTATATATGAAGGCAATGCTGCCGTATTTAACATTAATTGTAGGCTGATAACACGGTTAGCATCTAAAGCAATGTTGCAATGCAATGTTCTCTGCATAATTATAATGCTTTATCCCACTAGTGAAAGACAGCATGTGCAGTTAAATTACTGCCATGAGAAAGCTAGGTGGTTCAGCTACTCGCAGCTTTACATGTGGAATGTGCCTACTCACCCTACTCCAACCCCTTCCTATACAATGGTCAACCGTAATTCTGTTTTCAGTGAAGGTAGGATAGGAAACATGTTGAAAAGCAGCACAAAGAAGCGAACCTTAGAAGTTTCTTAGTGAACTGTTGTTGGCAATCTCTGGGCAATCATGGGAGGTCATAGCCTATTTGTTAAGGTGCTGATTGAAATTCTGGGACACCAGTTCTTTCCCTTAATACAAAACCAATTTTGAGCCAAGTCATTTAAGACCTTTTGAAAACTGACTCTAAAATAGCATATGATATCCTGAGGAAAAAATAAACCATGATTTAGTAAACTAAATGATCCATGGGGTAAGGACAGCTTTATATGGTGTTCTTACAGAAAAGGAAGGTGCAGATAATGAAGTTATGGCCAGGAAAAGTTCTTGGCACCACATGAGTGCCAGCTTGAAATGGACTTCTCCATGTTCACAGCTCAGGAAGTGTTTACTGTCTACCAGCTCTGCGCAATCCTCACCAAGCTTGGAAAAATAGAAGATCCACCTACCCAGTGACGCTCTAGGGAATATTCACATCTTTTCTTGGCAACCACAGCATTCAGGATTGCTCCTTCAGGCTTATTTTTCTGGAGGCAGCTCACCATTTCACTTAAATGCTGAACAGTCTTGGCTTAAGGTTTCACTTGCATTTCACTGACAGTCATGTTGGTGAAAAGGACAACTATGATAAGAAACATAACAGAGCACAGTAATGAGTATTTGGCCATATTGTGGTTGGCAACTGACTTCTATGTTTTGCTCAGTCCCTGTTCTCAGTGTCATCAATCTTACGATAACTTGGCCCTGGATTTTATAAGAATAAATAATTTTGGACTTCATAGTGTTACATGTCAGGGCTTTACCATATAATGATGATGGTAAGGATGATGACACCCTGCCTTGATGAATGTTCACTGGGCGCGTTCTGCTGAGTGTTTCATGCATGTTATTTCATTTGGTCTTCAAAACTATATGGACGCAAGCCTGCTAGTGCCTTACATTGTACTTAAATGGTTGTTAAGGCCCAATGTGGTCTTCTTGTCCTGCACCTTTTCTGCTCCCTCTGTCACAGCCACATTATCTTCTTTTTGTTCTTGGGGCATGGCAAATTCATTCCCTCCATGGGCTTTCACTGGCTGAGCCTTCAGTCTGGACTAACCTTAGTGCAGATGATCCTTTCTGGTCATTCAGTTCCCGGGTGAAGTCCTATCTTTTCTCAGAGTTTCACTAAATTTTGGAGAACCTCCTCAGTTTCTCTCAGGTCACCTCTTTTTATTTTCATTCTAAAATCTAACACAGTCACCCTGGACCATCTGTAGGGGAGTGGTTCAGCATATCCACAAACACTGAAATCTGAGGATACCCAAGCAGCCATATAAAGTGTAGTATCTGCCTATAACCTAAGCACATCCTCTCCTATACATTATCTCTAGATCACTTATAATAGTGCTTAACGCAGTATTAGTGCTATGTAAATGTTTGTCATATGGTATTGTTTAGGGAATAATAAGAAAAAAGTCTGTACATGTTTGGCACAGATGAACATAAAAATATTTTTGACCTACAGTTGGTAGAAGCCATGCATGAGAAACCCACAGAAATGGAGGGGCTACTGTTATGCCTATAAATCTTCATGTTAATTAATTTAAAAATTCTATCTTTGCCAACTGGATTGTAATCTTACTGATCATTTGGACCAAATCTGTCCTTTATATTTATGTTCTCAGCTCTTAGGGCATGGCTGAAAGTAAATGAGTTCAATAATATTGAACATGGTTCAATAAAGAAATGGGTGCCAGGGATATAGCTCAGTGACACAACACCTGTGTGGCAAGCGTGAGGCCCTGAGTTTAATTCCTGGTGTCCTTGCACCAAGAGAACTAGGTTAAAAAAGTAAATGAACCCTAAGTTTTAGGCACCTGTGGATTTGGTATCCTTGGAAGGTCCAGGATCAAGTTTTGCTCGAAGAAGCAGAAGCACAGACAGGACAAGATATTTGTCTCAAGACACATTTCTCCTAAATGGTTTATGCAGGATATGTACTCAGGCACAATTCCCAAGTTCATTGTTTTAGCCACTGTGCTACGGAACAGTGATTGAAGATTTGTACATCCTCTCTGGAGCCTCGGAAAGTTTATAGCTGAGAGAGGCACCTAAAAGGGGAATTACGGTGTGTTCATCTACTAAGTTCAGTGCACAAAGGCTTTTTTTTTTCTTTCCCATTATCGGTACACTTAAAGCAAGCACTACAGTTCCATTCATCACTGGGATCTTGTGCCTTCACATGAGATGTATTGGTTCTTACTTTTTCCCCATACCCCTGCCCTCCCTTCACCTCCTTCACCCTTCCTAGATACAAAGACTTTGTTTCTAGTTTTTCCTTTTCTCACATTTTTTCTTTTCCCTTATTTCCTTTCCCCTCCCCACCCACTTCCCCTTTAGCCCTTTCCTTCCCATTTCACACTATCGATTAAACCATTTGAACCTTAGTTACACTTTTTGTTTTTGACACCAGAGAAACTATTTGGAATTTACTCAAGTGTGTCCTATTTATTTCACTTCAGCGTATAGCCTCTATGTGCATCCATTTAGCTATAAATGTCTCTAGTTCCGCATTCTTTATGGCTGAGTAGTGTTCCATTTTATAGAAAAACCACATCTTCTTTATCCAGTCTCCAGTTGATGGGCATTTGGGCTGTTTCCAAATTTTAGCTATTACAGACTGTGCCTCTATAAACATGGGTGCACATATATCACTGCGGTATGATTCTTCTAATTCTTTTGGGAGGATACCCTGCAGAGGGATAGCTGAGTCAACTGGGACCTATTAATCCTAGTTCTTTGAGGTATCTCCATATTGATTTCCACAGTGGTCTGCACTCCCACCAACAATGGAGAAGGGTTTCTTTCTCCCCACAGACCCACCAACATTTGCTAATGGTTGATTTCTTGACAGCAGACAATCTTTCTGGGGTAAGGTAGGATCTCAGTGTTGTTTTCATCTGCATCTCTCAAATGACCAGTGATGTTGAATATTTTTTCATATATTTGTTTGCTGCTTTTACTTCTTTGCCTGAGAAGTGTCTGTTCATTTTAGAAGCCCATTTTTAAATTGGGTCTTTGTATTTGGGGGGGTCTGACTTTTTTGAGTTCACAAGTCTTCTTTATTGAAACACTCCATGTGCTTAGTGGCCATATTTCTCAAAAGTGCTGACTCTAATACCCATTCACTCAGGAGAGAGCAGAGCTGCAAAAATATTTTGCTTGTGTTCTAGTCATTCTGACGAGGATAGGTGCTTTTATTTTTTTCTAGCATTTTTACTACACAAAGTGAAGTTTAAATAGATGCCCAACTTAGACCGTTGCAAATTTCTTGATTAGAAAGTTTATATATAAGTGTGTGAAAAATAAATGCTATCCATTCTTGTAATGTTTTCCTGTGAAAGTTTAATATATGGATGGTATTTGATAATCATATACAGCTTGCATTTTCACTATATTTTGAGTTATGTGTAAGAAATAAATATAATCCCCAGGTTCTTCCAAACTCCATCTAATAAGGTCTTTTAAAATTATTTTACACACTACAAAGTTTAATTTAACCATCCTAGTTTTATTTAGTAGGCTATAAGGAGTAAAATTGATTTTAAAATAAATTATGTGCAAATAATAAAAATGCTAATAGAAAATAGTATAACAGTTGTGCTTTACTTTTTTTTTGAGGCTACTGAAGCTATTATTGCTTTCATTATAGCAGTCTTAGCCTACAATTAACCAATTTATGAAATGAATTTTAGTGACACAAGGAAAAGTGTGTGTGTGTGTGTGTGTGTGTGTGTGTGTGTTGAAGGCAGGGAGAGCCTAGCTTTTGTGGTCCTGCTTTCTCTGATCTCATGATGATGTAAAATTTGCTCTCCACTTTGGATACTGTGGGGCATGACTGTCAGTGAGTTAGCATTCTTTATTTTTGCAGTATAGAGAAGATACTGATAGTAGGTAGGAGGTATCTTCATGAATCTCACAGAGGCACCACTCATTTACACATAATCCCAGCACTCTCAGAGCTGAGTCAGGAGGTTCATAAGTTCAAGTCCAGCCTGAGCAACTTAGTGACTCAGTGAGACCCTGTCTCAAAAAAAAAAAAAAAATATATATATCACTGGGGAGGTAGTTTAGTGCAAAGGCCCTAAATTCAATACTCAGGACAGTCCCCTGCCACCACCCACACACAGAAAGAAGCTTGGGGAAAGCTACTCCTATTACCTGAAGAAATAAAGATGGGCTCCTGAGAGCCAAGATGGGCCTTATATGTGTCTTTTCCCATAAAATATTGCCATTTAAAGCAGTCAAAATAATAGCACTATTAGGAATCTAACTTAGACACATTGTAAGATAATGTGTACCTGTATACTTGTAATTTAACCCAGAAAAAAATGAGAAAATGTTTTCAGTTCTAAACAGCCGACATATCAACTTTGGGAAGATAAACTTTCTTAAGGATGCTTATAATCACACATTTGACCCCATGAAGTTTGATGCTGGTAAATGTTTGTGGGCTTCTTCACCTTGTCTGCCAGATTGGTCTCAGTAAATGAAGTATTAGCTGCATAAAGAAACTGTATAGGAATATGCATCATGGGACGTGTTTGACCTTGAACCTTCTGTCTCTACACAGATTTTTAAAAAGAGATGTGTTTGAGCCGTCCAAAAAGTGAAAGAAAGAAAACATGGAAGAAAGGGAGCAAGGAAGAATGAGTTGACAAGACCCAACCATAATCTCCCGCAGGAGCCTAAAGGCCTCTGGGAAGCTGCCTCTTCTCTTCCGGTTTTCCAGTTTCCCGGCTTGCTTCTGGCGTCAAATGGGAGGGGGAGGCACAAGATGGTGGCAGCCAAACCCCGCCTCTAGCTAGTATTCCAGTTTTTGAAACCCCCCTCCCACCTCGTTTACATCTGGACATAGTCAAAGGAGATAAATCAATTAAGAAACATATTATCGGTGAGTAGAAGTATTACCTATTTGGGAGAAATCCTGCCTTGTGTGACTCTACCATTGACCACCAGCCTTGCTCTTGTCCATGCTGCCCAGGTTTAACGCAGACATCTGAAGAGAGTTTTCCCGATAGATCTCAACAGCACGCAGTGTACTTTCTTAGGTCACATTGGGAAGGAACCTCATTAAGCCTCAGCAATTCTCGTGGACTCTGTGGTCTCATTTGGGGCATCCACAGAGGCATACGCCCTGCGTGAGCGGGCTCAGACGTAGCCATTGATCTTGAAGGGAGGTGAGAAGGTGAGTGGAGAAGATGCTGAACTCAGGGGCTTCCTGGGGCTTCCAGAGGTCACTGAGTTCGGGAACTTGACAAGAGTTTAACACCGCTCGCAACAAGCAGCTTTCTACTCTCACCATTGAGAAGGGAAGCGGAAGAACTCACAGGTGACTTTTAGTAAGGATCATGTGATCATCAGCCCAGGGATGGAATCCCTCAGTCGGTCTCTTCCAGAACGTGGTACAAACCGCAGTCTGTTAAATTAAGAAGAAGTGTTAGTTAAGAAGAAGTGGGTTGCAGGGCCAGATTAGAGGAATATAAACAAAAACCTAGGGCAAAACCAAGTGGCTAACATTGTGAGATTATCACGTGCTTATCTGTGTACCATGTCCTTCAGAAAACATATCCCACTGTATCCTTATGAAAGTGTTACATTTGCTGATCTTACCCCTTCCCAGAAACAAAGGGGAAGACCCTGGTTGGTCTAGACCACGACAATGAGTGAAACAGTTATTTTTAGAAACCAGTTTACCCTTATGAATATGAAGTACACCTCAACCTTGCACTGGGCATCCGGAGCAGAATGCCTCCTCTCTTGTTGCGCTAAGCTTTCTTCTGCTTTCTTTGCACTCACCACACTTTAGCTTCGTACCGTGTCAATCTTGGCGCCCCTTTTTCCCCTAAAAGCCCCACTTCTTCATAGTTCGCCAGAGCGAGGGCAAGGACCTGAAAAAAGAAGGAGGGTCGTTACGGGGACCCCTACCGCCCCAAACACTGGATGAAGCTGTTAATGAACCCAAGAAAAAGAAACATGAGAAAGAGGATCGGCTGGGCAAGAAGCTCACATGTGCCATACTGATCGATAACTTTGGTCATGGAGAAGGGTGGGGTCGGGTGGGAGCGGGGTGGAAGGGTGACGGGAGAGCTGATGTGCTGGGGAGAAAAAAACTTCCATGTGTCCAGTATCATCTTTCAGTGTTTCCTGGGGCCCCGACCCCGTAATATCAAGAGTGGGGTGGGCTGAAAGAGCCCACAGAGCAGTGTTCACAACGCTGCGGCTGTAGACAAAGGTTCTGTGGGTTGTTTTAAGTTTTCATGTGCCGTCGCATAGCCCCAGTTGGAATCCAAAGCTGTGGAGGTGGTAGTAGCCTCTCCAGACTTGGGGGTCCAGCAGCCTTGTCGACAGGTAACTACCCTTGTAAAGGCCAGGTAGCAAGAGGGCTGCCGTGGATCCCAGGTCGATCGGAAGGGTTCAGCATTCTCAAGTTAAGCTAAGGTTTAAAATAAAAAATATTTTCTTAGGTTAGTGGTATTGAGGTCCAATTATTAGGCTTTTCTCGTTTGTCCTTTCTGTTGGAATGAGAACATTTTGACCTCCCTTTGACTGAGACCGGCATCGTTAGAACTTCACCTGTTTTCTTGTCAAACCTGAGCAATCCATCCACTTGAGGAATTTCTCATTTAGTTCCAGTTCTCGTTTTGTTCTCTACTCTGTAAGGTATTATTTGCCCTTTTCAATGTGTTTTGAAGGCAGTTTTTTTTTTTTCCAGAACATGAGCAATTAGGGAAATTCAAGTTAAAAAGGGAAGATTTTACTTTGCAACAATCGATGTCTCTCCAAGGCTCATTTTTACCTGTTGGTTCGGAAGCTCTTTCTCCCTCAGTTGAGAGCTCTGCTTCCCCAGAGCTCCGAGGCTACCCCTGCTAACAAATGGGACATAAGTAGGAAACGTTGACATGAGCTTTGTACAGAGATTTTTACATTTGTATAATAGGATTTTTCACACTTTTATGTGAAGCTTTTTATTTACTTTACTTGTCACATTGTAAATTAAATGTAACTTTTGTAAAATAATTATCCTCACACCATCAAACTTGCTTCCTTGTCTTTACTTGGATCACTATTGAGTCAAAGGTAAAAGTAGTAAATGTGAATCACTAAATTATTTTTACAGAACCGTTTTTCATTGAAATGTCACTAAATTGCCTGCAGAGGGCGCACTGTCCTCATTTTTTACGTTGCCCCTTCGCTGATGGAACGAAAGCAAGGTGTTTTTATAGGATTAAAAAGCATTCCACAATGAAAAGGGAAAGAATGCTCAACGTCTCACTTTTATTTTCCTCTATGCAATGTTGCAAAATGGAATATGTTGAAGGGCGAGGAAATGCAGTCTCTCTCAGCTTTTTTTTTTTTTTTTTTTTTTTTTTTAAA